CTGCGAGCCAGACACCACCGGGCACAGGCCTGGCGCTGGAGCAGGGCCTTCTTGGATGCCTGGCACTCAGCCAGCAGGCTCTGGTGTTCCTGGGACAACAGTCCTGCCAGGAAGGCCGCTGTGATCTGAAGGTTGTGCAGCTCAGCCCTCTGCAGCAAAGCTGCCACACTGCCCTCCTTGCACGCTGAGCCCTGTACGCACAGCATGGGCAGCAGCCTGGCCAGCGGTGAGCTGCCTGGCCTTTGACAATTGAAGAGGTGTCCGAGCAAGGCTGGTGGCATGTCAGCACTGAGGGCCAGGTAGAATGCAGCAAAAAAGCACTGGAAAGTGATGTGCAGGAATTCCAGGGGTGCCATACTCCCTGGCACGACATTTTTGGCACATACCAGAAAGCCGAGAGAAATGTCATTAGAGTCAACCTGTGCTGCCTGGAGCTGCTGGGCTGAGAACACATAGCAGCATGTGCCCAGGCCCCAGAGAGCCAGCTGACCAAGGTGCAGGAGGGTGGAGAGCCTGCCTTGGAGAAGGCTGGGTCCCAGACCCTGGGAGGCCGAGTGTGGTGGGGAGGCATGCAGCAGAAAATGCTGCAGGATCAGCAGGTACATGTCCGTGGTGGTCTTCGGGGAGCCCCCCTCCAGTAGCAGCAGTTCCTGGTGGCATTTGGACACCATCCACGAGAAGACAGGCAGGTGGCACAAACCATGCAGAGCTGATGTTGTCTGGAGCAGGTGGATGAGGCGGTCTGCCACCCCAGGCTCACGGTGGCACTTCCGCAGGTACAACTCAATGCCCTCTTCGGAGAAGCCTTTGAGGTTGAACTCTGTGCGAACATACTTTCTGAGGCTCGCCGACACTGCATCCGGACGACTGGTCAACACCTTGCGGGCATCCTTCAACAGGTTGCCCTGCAGAAGGTTGAAGAGCAGATTCTGGACAGACGTAGGGTGGGTCGGAGAGCAGTGACGCTCACGATCAGTGAACCTGAACTTGAACTCATCAAAGCCATCAAAAGTTAACAGGATGCGGTCAGGATGGTCTAGAAGAAACTGAAAGACGTCCTGTTGGCCAGTGTCAGGCCAACAGCAGTGCTCAAAGAGCAGTGTCCGTAAAGACAGTGGTTTGGCCACACACTGCAGCTGCCGGCAGCTGAAAGGGAAGACAAAGAGAAACTCCTGGAAGTCCCGCCCGGTGGCCCAGAGCAAGTGCAGCCGCTGCAGGAGTGTGCTCTTGCCGCTGCCCGCCTCCCCCACCACCAACATGGTGTCCGCATCTTCATTGAGGTGACCACCAGCGTGGAAGAGCTCCTCCAGGCCCAGCGTAGCCGGGCTCTTCTTTGGGGATCCAGCCACACCCACATCCCTCCGGACAGCCAGGATATTCTCTGTGTATATGTCCTCCAGGCAAAGGTTGTCCACCCCATCGTAGGTACTGAGGAAGCGAGCCTGAGCGGAGACCATGGTCCTCAGCTTGGACGAGTACTTCTTGC